TGGAGTCAATAATGACTCCAAGATCCCTTTCTGCCTCCGTGCTCTCGAGTAAGGAGTTCCCCATTGTGTAAGTGTGCTGCTGGTTCCTACTGCCCAAATGCAGCACCCTGCACTTGTCCGTGTTAAAACGCATCCTGTTCCTGTTAGCCCACCCCTGTAACCTATCCAGATCCCTCTGCAATCTCTCCCTCCCTGCTAGCGTGCTCACCTCCCCCCAGATTTTGGTGTCATCAGCGAATGTCATCATTGTTTGTCTGTAAGTAAGGTCTATAGGCTTGATGGATGGTATTCAGGGGTAATGCTATCCTCTGTTGCATGGTTCATTGGGGAGTAGAATATGAACGTTCAGTTGTACAGAGCTACTCAGAGAAGAAAGGCATATTTTCATTTCTGTTTCCCACTTGCCATCTACCTTGCTAGTCTTTTTGTATCTGCTGTTCACGAGCTTTTAACTAGTTTGAATGGGTGGCCAAAGGTTATTGGGACAGGGAATAACATGTCTTTTTAGGCAATGAGAATTGCTCAGCAGCTCACATTACAAGCAGGGAAAGCTCCCTTTTGCGTAATTAAAGTGCTGCAAAGGCAGTAAGAAGATAGGGACAGTGCAAGGCCATCCAGTATTCATGCAGTAGAACTGGAGGCTTGTAAAGGGCAAGGTTAACGCACAGTTTTGCTGTGTTTTTTCTTAATGGCTGTTGACGTCTACAGTGTCATGGACATAAAGCCTTCTGCTTTGTCTGCAGCTGATGATGATTCAGTGGAATGGTAATGGCCCAGCTGCCACTGATATTTCAAGATCAGACTGTTTTTTGTGTATATTTTATGTATAGAGGAGAAATGGACTTTAAGTTGGATAGAAATAATTGTCGTTGGAGGATGGAAAAGAACTGTAGTTTGGGGAAGGGGGTGTCATTCTTTCAATGTTATTCTTTAGTCTACTACTGACTTAACAAAACAAAGGCCTAAAATGATTTTTCCCCTCAGTTAGAAACATTCCACACACTATGTCCTGTCATATATGTGGCAGAGAGATTTTTCATAGAATCGTATCTTATTCTCACTTTCTATAAGAGAAAGGCTTTATAATGCCATTGGTAAAGCAGCAGAAATCTCTTAGCTGTGGTGTTTCCTTGGCTGTTGCTCTTTAATTTGCTGCTCTTCATAATTAAAAGCCAATTTTAGAAATCCCAGCCCATTGCATCAAAAAACTGAATTACAGGAAACAATTTTGCTTTTCCTTTTAAAAAAAATGTACAAGGCAATGATGACACTTATTGTTCCCCAGAAATCTTTTAGTCGCTAGAACTGCTCTTATTAGCATTCTTTCAAGTTCTTTGTTAATGATACCATCTTTAAAAAGTTTAAATCATAAAACTGGCTTAATTGAACAATGATATTCTTCCATGTTCTTCAGATTTCTCCTATGTATGTCTCATATCTGTGTACAAAATAGTAATAATGGCAAATGCACTTATGAAATAAATTCAAGGAACTGGGGTATTTCAGGAAATCTTATTCCACTCATTAAAATTGCTAGTCTTTATTTTACCAAAACTAGATTTATTTTAAAGCAAAGGTAATAATTATGTTAGCAGAGGGTTAGGACTTCACAGTTTAGATTGTTTCTTTTTTGCTTGCCTCTGAAACATCAGTGATCAGTTGCTCCTGGAAAAAGACTATTACATTTTGCAAGTCCAGTTGTACTTATTTTGTTATTCAGATAGGGGTTAACTAATATTTAGAAATGTAAGGAAAAATAAAAAGGGTTTTTTTTCAAGATACATTCTGATACTTGCATTTGTGGAATGTGAAGGTGTATCACTATAGTCAAACTGAATGTATATGAGGCAAGTGGTTCCAACCTGTACTTTTATTTGTTCCATAATTATATACTTTACCAGCTAATCAGTGGATCACCCTATCCTACCTAGGTTATATATACAATATACAGACTTGTCACTTATTTTTCATGCACCCTGATATTCATTAATATAAAGTAAGAGAAACACACTTAAAAACATTGAAACACACTGCACTTTACAAGCAATAAGTTAAACAAACTATATTAACTATTCAAGGAGTTATGCACCCTCAGCAATCTTTAGAATTAGTCTCTGAAACCTCAGAACATCCCTAAGAGAAGTAGATAAGTGCTCCATTTTCCAGATTTGAAATTCTGAGGCAGATAAATTAGATGGCTTGTAAAGCCACAAAGTGATTTCGTGTCTGCCAAGACTAGAACTTGGGTATTTGTGGGTCCTGCCGATCCTGAGATTAAATTTAAGGTGAAATCCTGGCTCCACTGAAGTCACCACTAAAGCTACCTAATGACTTTTACTTCAAGGCTAAAGAAATCACTAGCCTCATGTCTAGTGGTTAAAGAACCTTACTTTAATTTCAGCTCTGACTCTTTCTTTCATACATTATTTTTATTTACAGTTTCTTAAATGTGTACATAATTGAATGCATCTCTCTCATTAGCTGATTGTTAATATTCACAATATTTGCTTTTATTCTGGAAAAGCATTGGCATCTTTGTTCCCATAGCTAAATCAAATAAAAAGAATAAGTGAAGCAGTAGTTTGCCATGAACAAAGTTCATAGTGATTTTTGATGCATGCAGCCTAATTAACTTCTGAACAAAGGTTAAGCTGACTTTTATATTCTTCTTTTAGTCTTCATTTCATATAATGTTTAGAACGTATTTTTACTTATTCTTCAAGAGGAAAATTGTTTTAGTTTAAATCTTCTTTGAATCCTTTTTTCCTCCAAAACAAGACGCATCAACCCAAATGTACATTTAGTAAAAGTTTATCCAAAGTATGTTTTTAAGATTGAAAATGCATGGAGTGCCAAATGTAAACAATTATCTAGAGGGGTAGATCATTGTTTTCACTGTGTGAATAATAATAACAAGTGTAAGAATTTACTGATTCACCTGCTATTTTTTACAAATATTTTCCTTTCACTGTGGCAAAAGATTCTTGAGTTATAAAATTCAAAGTATTGGTATAATATACAAAATATAAGACTCCCAGAATTACAACATGCATGTAACTAGGGGATGTTTTGTTTCCAAATAACTGGCCAAATTTTGTTCTTAGCCACAATGGCATAACTCTGGAGAGATTTAGCTGTAGGCAAGATCATTTTACTAGATTTGCAATGATAAAATGGACAGAATTTAGCTCAATGCATTTTAAAGCTGTTGAGCCATTACCATTAAATAAGTTAGCTGAAAATAAACTACTGACTCTTTTATCTCTCAGCCTGTCACTCTGTGAGCAAATATGTTTATAGTATTTGTGTTTGATAAAATGCCTATTGTATCATATGTAACACAAATTTTGAGCTAATAAAATCGTTGTGAATAGGATGAGTAGGAACACCTAGAAATGCATAACTATTGTTAGGATAAGCTATTTTTTTTTAGAAAGGTATGTGATCTTGACTTAATTCCCTTGTTCTGAAAAAGCATTATTGACAAGAGTGTTATGGAGTAAAACATTATGTAATAGGGGTAGGGTTCAACAAGCACTTAGGCATGTGCTTAAGCTTAAGTGCTTTGCTGAGTAGGAATCCACAAGAGAAAAGACAAGATCCCTGTGAATCAGTCTTCTATCTGATGGGGATGTGAGATATTTTTATTATTAGTGTGAGGCCTCCTTTTGTAATGTTTTTAATCCATTCACCCTTTTTCCTAAATAAAGAAGATTAGCAGTTATCATTTGTCTGTATCAGATACTAAACAATATTTAAGATTTCAGTTGGGAAGAAAGTGGGGGGCCCAAAGCTGACCAGATGTTAATAAAGAAAATTTTGAGTATGGAAGCAAACATGAGCTTCTAGAAACTATGGTACAGCTCTGTAATCAAGTTACCATATATGCTGTGTTCACCAGAACTCTGACAGGAGGTGTCATATTTTCCAGAACTGAAATAGTAAAGTGGACCATCAAGAGAGAACTGGATGAGGGTTGTGGGAGAAGAAAAGAGAGAAAGAGAGAGACTCATTGAACAGACGCAAGTATCATGAATTAGCAGAAAAAGATCTCTGGTATCACTGAAACACACAAACTAAACAAAAGATCAGAGAACCCACAATGGTGGACAATGATGGAACAATAACCAAGACTGAGAAGTATGTTCAAGCTTAATCATTTCCAAGCAGCAATTTTCAATTTTATTTAGTCCTATTACCATAGAAAGTGAAAGACCTGCATAGGAGATTAAATTGGTCTTGACAAGAGAAGTATAAGCTTGAATGGCTCAACTAATATAATCACTGTTCAGGAATAACCTTAAAATTACATAAAATAAAAGAATAATAAAATAAAAACAAAACTAACCATTTTGTTTGAAAAAAATCTGTTATACTTTTCTGGCAATTTGAAAGGTCGGTTGATGATTCATGGAACTGAAAGAACATTCCACATATAAATTGATTACAAAAAATCAGTTGACCTCCTGAGGACCTTTTCAACCGTAATTTTCTATGATTCTATTATTTTTTTCTATGGTTTCTTACTCTTTTCTTCTTGATTATTACCAACTGTTATGGGTTAATAGCCCTTTAAGAAAAGGAGAAAGGATGAAAGTGCGGGGCCACTTCAAAGTATCTCAAGCAAACAAAACGTT